CCGTCTTCTGCGGCGTGCCAATGTTGGTCTCCTTTCAGGACGCTGCTGCGGCACTCCAACTGGTCGCCATCGCGCACAGCGCCGCCCTTCGAGTAGTAGCCGCCTCTGCCGGAACCAATCCTTGAGCAATCCACGTCGAAGTTAGCACCTCTATTGGAGGCGCCCAACAAGTGGCCCATGTTCACTACAGCGCAAAGATGCTGCAGGTCTCCTTTCAGGGCACTATCGCCGTGCTCTAATTGGTAGCCATCCCACGCAGTGCCTCTCCCAGCGCCGCCCTCCGAGTAGTCACCATAACCCCCGTTCACTGCAGAACAAAGACGACGCTAGTCTCCATTCCCGGCACCGCCCTCCAAACGGCCCATATCGTCTACAATGCCTCCACCCCGACCTCCACCACCTTCAGCCAGTATTACCTTGGTCTTCACTGGATCGCGCCACCGGGGGCTTTAGGTAGTGCGTAGATGGCCTTGCGGATGACGCTGGTGGTGCACTCTATGGCCGGTGTCGATAGAGGTAGGTGAATAGGTGGAATGCAACTTGGAGGGGAGGAAGAGGATGGCAGAGGCAGTGGAGTTGGATAGGGAGGGAAGGGGAGGCCTGAGGAAGAAACAGTTTGAACTACAAGTTTCTCCTGGGCAAATGTTTTTCAGGAAAAGGCAACGTGATAATCGATCATTTTTGGTAAACCTTGATGCACCAGTAAAGCTAACAGAACTAACTTAATCAGGACAAGTCGATCACCCGTCGAGAGGAAATTTGGTTTCCAGCCCACGAACTTCTTGGCAAACGGTCTAACAAAGGCTGAACATCCTGCTTTGTTAGCTGTCGGAGGGAGAGCAGGAGGCCGAGGTAGGTGATCGGGAACTGATCGAGCTGACAACACGGGATGGACTGGACGAGCGCGGATGCTCCTGTGAGCATCTGATCGTGGTGATAGTGCTCTTGGTGAAGTTCACTTTGAGACCTGTCGCAGCCCTAAACAGGTCCAAAATCGCTTTGATTGCCTATGTGTCTTGTTCCGTTGGTTGGAGGAAGATCACCGCATCATCGGCATACAACGAAATGGCCGACGACTGCAAAGCAGTACCAGTCCCTCTTAACGTCCCTGAAGCCATTGCTGTGGTTACCATGGCTTGCAAGACGTCCATGACGAGCACAAAGAGCAAAGGCGAAAGCGGATCACCCTGGCGTAGTCCCCTCATCAACTTAATTGATTCACATTCCTCTCCATTCAGCCCCACCGTGGTGTGCACCGTCAGGAGAAGCGAGCACACCCACCTCCTCCACCGCACCCCGAAACCCTTGTACTGTAGCAACCTCAGCAAAAACGGCCAGGATACCGAGTCGAACGCCCTGGAGATGTCAAGCTTGAGCAACACCATCGGTTTGTGCCCCCTGTGACAGAGCAACGCCATGCCCTTCACAAACATGAAATTCTCGTGAATTGAACGTCCTCTTATGAAGGCGGACTGAGTGTAAGGAATGAGCTCTCCCATTTAGCCTGCCAGTCTAGTCACCATAACCTTTGTAGCCAACTTGGAGAAGCTGTGAATTAGACTGATCGGGTGGTAGTCCTTCAAAAGGGCCGGGCGCCTCCTTCTTAGAAAGAAGAATAATCATTGTCGAATTAAGCATGTCCAAATTTTGAAAGTTTCCTTGGAAAAACTTGTCCAAAGCCCTCATCAAGTCTTGTTTGATTATACCCCATCAGGTTTGAAAGAAGAGACCAGTGTAACCATCGGGTGCAAGAGCTCAATCCCCCGGCAACTCTTTTATTGTTCGCCACATTTCCTCTTCCCCCACATCACCTTCCAAGCCCGACAAGTCTACTTGTTTTAGCCCAATCGCCTGCAGGTCGATGGTAGCGAGGGGACAAACCAAGGAGAGCACAAGGATGGGGAACCCAATTTTGTGGTTCATGGTGGTACTGGCAACGGGAGGGGCAGAATCAAAACTCAGGCAGAGGCGCTAATGGTGGCGTCGTGGTCGTCGACTCGAGTACAGTGAAGGTGATGATCAGAATTTTGCCCATTGTTTTATGCGATTGATATGAGAATTTTTCTACTTTTAGATTTAGACGCTAGGCATGGACGAGAGTGGGCCGAAATATCAAGCAGAATTGTACTAGGATTACGTAAAAACCAATAATCTAGATCGTCTATCAATCCACGTGGGCATGAAATCAGCGACCCCAAGTGGGACTCCTGCATTCACATGTTCCTACGTCACCCTTTCCATTCCACCTGCAGACTCGATGAGCGGCGGGCAACAGGGCAAGGCATCGCCGCCACCAGGCTCAACGAGCTGCTAGCTCGGTGGCGGAGAATCGCCAGTAGAGGCGTGGGGTTCGACCGCTTGCGCATGCCCGGCCATCCATCTTGATCTCAGGCAGCCAGTCCGAGTGCCCCCTAGGCACTGCATCCTTATACTCAGGCGCCTGATGAGAGAAAAATATCGGGCGCCCGCACGTCTCATTCCTTGTCACTCGGGCTCCCCGTGCCTCTCTCACTCATGTCGCCTCCTCTCCCCCATCGGCGCCACCTCCTCTCCCACGAGCTCCCTTGCCCACGCTACCTCCTCTCCCCCACGACCTCGCCTACGTCGCCTTCTCCGTCGGATCCGCCGCCGCTTTTTGTCTTCCTCAACGTCGACGGTGGCTTTGTCCCCGTGGTGGCGGCCGACGCGGAGGACAACGCACGCCCGACGAGGTGGTGGTGGCGGCGGCGGCAGTGGTGGTGGAGGAGGCTCGCCGGCTCCCCCTCTCTCCCAGGAGCACTCCCTCCTCATCTCCGCTGCCCTCCCCCTCTCCTGCCTTCTCCAGATCCAGTGATGGGGGTGGTGGAGAAGACCGATGCGAGCAACCCTGTGTTCATCGGAGAGTAGGAAGATGCAGTTTAGACTAGGTTTTGTGTTTTTTGTGTGTTTCCGCTAGTGTGGAGATTATGGGTACTACATACCCACATGGCATAGATATCTGACTGGTTATAAGGGATACTTTATGCGGTTAGAATATGTGTAGTAAAGGACTCGGTTGTAATGTTAACTTGTGTATCAAGGAAACATCCGATAGTTCTAGTCGGTTATGATTGTAATTTATCTCTAAAGGCCTAGTCCATAAAGAACATGGATTGTATGTTGTAATCTCGGCTCCTCCTCCTATATAAGGAGGGGTCCGAGTGCTCTTATGAGCGTAACTTTTCTCCCAGATCATACGATCAATAATACACTCGGCAGATCAATCCCCAGACAGGAGTAGGGTATTACTTCTCATCGAGAAGACCTGAACCTGTATAAACCTTGTGTCTCATAACCCATCCACTTTTCTAGCTTAATTGCCACCCCTTTTAGTATTGCCGAAATCTTGTTTCGACAACTAGTGTACTCGTGATGTTCTTTATGTTTGGATCAAATGTTCCAATGGATATTTCGATAGTATTCCATATTTCTATTTTTGCCTCACCAGCTTTGTTGATGTTTCAATGGTTCAAAAGCAATGTTTCAACTAATATGCTCGTGATGTTTCTTTGTGTGTGAATCAAATGTTACGGTGGATTTTAGATAGTGTTTAATTATTTCACTTGATATATACGGGGTTTGTTTTGATGTACACGGATTTTATGTGTTTCAATGACTTAAATCGTTTTGTTGTGTAAGTTAAACCAAATTGTTTCATCTAGTAATCTTACCGTGTTTTTTTTTAAAGAACATTCTTTCGCTAAGTGCTAAAACAGCGCCCGGTGCCCCCTCATTTGTATGCGCCTCCATCATACCAGGATCCGAGTCGGAGGTTTGGCAGCCTCCTCTTCCTTCCGCCGACTCGTTTCATCATCTCCGTCGTCGATCGCGTCGCCGCCGTCGTGCTCCTGGCCGGAGAGATGAATATCCATACAGAAGTATACTATCGCAATGGCCCCCCTCTTCGATGAGCAGGGGAATCTTATCTATAGCCACCTGGTTATTGGCGACCGGAGGCTTCCCCTGAGGGTGGAACAAAATCCGCCGCCGCCGCCGGAAGCTTACGTATCATCATCCGAAGACGTGTATTCATCAATGTCATCTGGCAACGAGGAGGAGATCAATCACCCCACGCCACAGATCTCCGACGAGGCGGCTGCGTCCTACAGGCGAGCTGAGCAAGGCCATCCAAGGCCTGCGTGAGGTGACGGCGGCCGGCGCGAGGGAGGAGGAGTGCGCCGTTTGCTTGCAGGATTTCGTGGCGGAGGAGAAGCTGAGGATGATGCCGTGCTCCCACACCTTCCACCAGCGCTGCATCTTCGACTGGCTCCGGCTCAGCTGCATCTGCCCTCTCTGCCGCCGCGCTCTACCCACACAGCACTACAGCAGGAGGATGACGACAAGCTTGGGTGCCCGGAGCTAGGAGCAACCAGCTGATGAACCGGCCAAAAGGCTGTATTTTGTTCCTCTGTTCACCTAAATATCCTCTGCATTAGGCAGATTGGTGATTTGTCTGTTCCAAGAGTTGTGTTGTACAGACTGAGACGATGTTTTATCGTCCCATCAATGTAAAGCTAAAGCTAGAAGCATGTTTCTCTATCGATCTATTCCAAGATCGAGTAGTACTTTTCAATTGGAAGCATGTTATGTATCTCCTCTACCGAATATCAAACTACAAGTACAATGGCATGTTCATTCCAACTCTCTTTGTTGTTAGCTTAGCTGCAACTATGCCGATTATGCTAATGATCCTTGTTCTGTCCAATTGAAGAAGTGCATGCTAAAAGATAACTGGAGTCTCTTCTAACGAGAAAATGCTTGTCGCACATGCTGGGATTCTTTTGTGGTTTAACTGAAGATTGCAGATTGGGGGACTGAAGAACTGGAGTATAGAGAGATTAGACCACGTCCTTGAAGGAAAAATCCCAGGATAAGCCGCAAAAAATAATTGTTTGGGGTTTGATCAAATAATTAAGGACCTTATAGCTGATACAGCAGAATAAGTCAGATTGTATAAATTGTGCACACGCGGGTATAAAGAATTTAGTTTCTGGGGAAAGTTACCATCATGTAAACCTCTTATATATTTTTCACTTAAGACAATACTGTATTTGTTTCAGTACAACTGTTGATCTCATAAGCATAGAAAAATACCCATTTTAAGGTATAATCGTCTGGATAAATGAGGTTGCATATTTCCTCGACAGTGGCAAAGTAGCAGTAGTAGTTTAGTCAATGTACCAAACCTATATGGCCTATGCAGGAATTTACTAGGAGAAACCTGAATAATTTGAAGACAGGAAGCACCCTCAATGAACATTCAGTCTTTCGCATCCATTATTCCACCTGATGTTACCTGGAAAACGTGTTATTGGTCAAGGGAAGCAACTATTTTACACCACACCATTAATAATCTGTTATGCAAAGCTTTTGGACTTCCAGTCACCGAAAACAGCATCTGCAATTAACTAAATCACAAGAGTTTGAGGAGCAAGTCTGAACAAAGAAAGAAAAACCAATCAATATTTTAGCAACCTACTGAACCGAAGTTACCAATTGCACAAGAAGTTTTGGTAAACATGTATATGTATAATACAAAAGGATATAGCTTCTCCCTCAGGCAGGTTAGGGGCATCAAAGATCTTGCAGACACGCTGCTCTCCTTTGCCTTTCCTCAGCATCAACCGGATGGTAGCTGCATGCGCCAGCACGTGGCCTCCCGCTGGTTTTTTCAGGTCAGTTATGAACATTCCACCACCTGGGTCGGCAATCACTGAAACAAGGAGGACACTTGTAATTTGAAATCCCTTATGGTGTTACTCTTTCTTGGGATATACAGGATAGTCCTGAAAGCTCACCTTGGTTGGTGATGTACACTGCAACATTGAACTCCTCAGCTATTTTAGTAAGGCGGGAGAGCATCTGTGCCAATTTTTGCTGCAAGTTCAGAGTAATTAGTACATAACTTTAGGCCTTCAACTACTTTATGATTTTTTTTTGTTTCTACCAACACAAATATTGACAATACCTGGCGCTCTGCAAGTTCACCCCTGCCACTGAAATCGACACGGAATAGTGCGATCACAGAATCCACAATCTACTCAGGTAAAACAACCACATAAGTAACTGAGATACACAAATTTATCAATGTTCTTTTATGTTATGGAGCCATGCCTACCAGAAGCCTGAAAGGCTCTTCAGCCATCTTAGCGGCAAGGCCAAGGAGAAGGTTGTACTGGTGCTCATAGGTGTATGCACGAGCATATATGATCTAAACAAGAAATAAATGGAAATATAACATACAGCTTCATCTGTTAGGCCTGAAATGGTAAAGACAAATTAAGAGCCATACATTATCAAGAACAGCATTGGCATCCATCCCAAATCTCTCAGCAATCGGCACAATTCGTTCAGGCCGGCTGAAAATTCCATTAAGGAAACAAGTTGGGGCGATATGGAAATGCAAATAAATCCATTGAGTGAATCAGCTGAGTTATTACTCAGTAAATTCAAAAGATACAATGTTCCCTCAGTATCAATGTAAGCAACCTTCCCGTTCCCCCCATGCATGTGGATTGGAAGCTGCAGTTCACAAACAAAAAATAAATAAAATTATTCATTGGATCTATGGTAGTAAGGTGTTGATGACAAAAATGTGTCGGAAATGAACCTGAGCGGAGACGCATAGAGTGTGAGCCAACTGGGTCTTCCCTGATCTGAGGACCAAAAATAAAGATGACAGATTACAAATTACAAAGCTAAGAAGCTGGAACCAAATTGACGAATGATGAACGTTAAATCAAAGTACATCAAGGGTCAAAGTTTGGCTGGTTCACATTAAATAGTAAGATGTTTTATTTATGTGCTACACAAAGCCAAATTGTTCCAAGCTGCAATTCAAGGAATCATTCTATAATACATCAACTTTGTCGCAAAACAAGATTATCTCAGCTAAATTTAATGTTTAGTAGAACCAATTTAGTATTAACATCAAAGAAAACAGTTTCAGACAATATTGATGTGTATATGCCTGAAGTTTACACATGAGGAGTATTAAGTTCTCAGTGTTAGCAGAATACAAACATATTTAGGAATTTACTGTATATACTGGCATGAATAAATGATAAAAATGGGAGCACAACAGCCTTAGCAAATTAACTTCAACCAGAATACTAAACATATTGCTAAGCTAGATTTTCACCATATCTATTAGACAGATATGGCCACATTCCATTGGTACAACCAATCTGCAGTTGTAATCCAGGAAAAAGAATCAAAAGGAACAAGAACGTCTACGCACCGAAATTCTCCAAATGCCTCTGTGATGCAAAGTGTTTCAATCCCTCCTTGAAAATTTGAAGAATGAAAATAGATTAGAACAACATAATGCAACAACTGATCATAACATAATCAGAGGACTATATATGCTACCGCCAAGCAGCTTGTCAAGCGCCTGGCTCCCAGTGGTGATTCGAACAACAGATTTCCGCTTCAAAAGAAGAAAAAGAATAAACCAAACAGCCCAGGGAAGTGCACAGCTGGAGTAACTAAAAGCTCTAGAGCATCCATGAAGCAAGGAATAGTTTCCACTTAGTTTGCTATAACACCATATCCTGTACACTAGTATGCTGTATGCAGATTAGCTCCTATTTCCTTACCTTAATAAGGAGATCACTTCCTGTTATGAAGCCCTGACTCTGAGAAAAACAAATATAGCAATTTCAGAAGAATGTATCACACAGAATTGACAGTGAAGCTTTCAGACTTTAATAATGAAAAGAGAACCACACCAGAAGTTTTTCGGCTGCTTCGCAGATCTTGTCTACCTTTGCTTCAGATAATCCCTTGATTCCTGTCAGGCTCTACAAGATGAATCCATATATTGAAACAATATCAGATAAGCATACTGTAAGAAAGAAATAGAACAAACGAAAGAAGATGGGTGTCATAAACCAGAAATGGAACAAGCAGGAGATGGCATGAAGGTTTGGGATCCCGAGTTCACAACCTTCTTTGTATGCATCATGAGGCCATTGCAAGTGTAGATACCAGCATCCTGCAGCTTCTTCACATCTCCAGAGTTTATCCCTTGCGAGATTACTGTAGACAAGTGCACCAGAGATGAACAGTAATGCAGGAACTATGCTCATTAGTTTGAATTCACGGCAATGAATAATTTGCAGGAAGAACCAAATGAAGCATGAAACACAGGCAAATGTCAGGATCACACCAAACAACTTACTAAAATTGAACTCGCTAGAGTTAGGGAGCCACCAGAAAACGTAAAGTGCAAGAGGAACTCAAGCTTAATCCCTAAACCTCCAAGTGCACCCATACACAACTGGTTCAACTAAATGCACTCCAAGTGCACCAAAACACACAACTGATTCAACTAATATGCAGAAAATGCAAATGTTTAAACTAGCCGGTGGAGAATTCCGACGAGTTCCAGCGATCATTTTGACGGGTTAATGCAAAACGCGTGTAAATTTGACTAAAAATGGGGATAAATTCTAATCGATCCTCTCATAGCAAGCGATGTGGCGATCCACACACCGATCAGCAGGAAATAGCCCAAAAACAGAGATCAATTGTGGAGCGGCGAAAATTCCAGAACAAATTCGTCACGAGACGAGGCTAATTTATGTCCAGAACGCACGAAATTGGGGGGAAAACTAGAAGCAACCCAACACGCACATCACAAAGCATCCAGACGCTGCTCGCAAGCAGAATCGAAACCAACAAAAAAAAAGTGGAAACGTACTAATGCTAAATCTCGTTTACTTCACCGCGAATCAAGCATCGAACTACAAGTCGAACAGCGACTAATTGAAAGGCGAGGCAGAACGAGCACTGCCACTCGCACGCGCGAACACACGCGAACACACACGAACGCACACGAGCAGGCGCGCCAAGCAATGCAGTGCGGGATACGAGACAGGGGGAGGAAGGGATGGAGATGAGGCGGAGGGCGTACGCTTGTCGATGGACTCGAAGCACTCCTCCTCCTCCTCGATCCTCTCGGCGTCCATGAGCTGGAGCTGCCCGCCTTCGCTGTACTGCTTGGACGGCGCCATCTGCCCACCTGCGTCGAAATGTGCGATCAGGGGAGAACCCAACCAGAATCACCCAAAAACCCAAGCGAGAACGGCGAGCGGAGGCGTCCGCCGCGGCGGAGAAAAACCTCCTCACCTGTAGGCGGAGGCGGCGAGGTCGTCGGAGCGGAGCGGGGGCTTGGAGGAGAAGGAAGCAGCAGAGGAAGACGACGAAGTGGTTGTGTTGCGCCGTTGCGTGTGTGAACAGTGCGGTTGCTCCGGCTGCGACGGTGGGCTACTTGGGCCTTCTGGAAACTGCTTGGGCTTGTCTTTCTATTGGGCCTTCTGCGGGAGGGAGCAGTATTGGGCCGTTTCATCCAGCCTAGCAGAGCTGGATGAATATATTTTAGAAGTATGTTTGTTTTGTATCGAAAATACTTCTATATTTTCTACAAACTAGATCGCTAACAACACGTATATACCAAGTTTTATTCATAAATTACTTTTTGTTTATATGCCATTTTGGCTCCGATGGTGTTGAAGCATACCCACAAGGTTGATCAAAAGAAGGCCGGAAAAGAGGCGAAGAGCGGCAGCAAATGCAAGAGCAAGGGGAAGGAAGGCAGGAAGCGGCTACCTCCCAAGGGCAGGAAGAGCATTCAATAACATATTGGAGACACTTTGTCAACTTGATCCCCATTATATGCAGATGATGTTTGACGAAGAACAACATGCAAACACACCAAGCATTTCTCAGCTCAACGACGACAGCGTAGCTAGTAGTGCAAGCTGCAGCCCAGACAGGGCCCTGCCGTGTGGTGCAACCAGGACCAGCAGCCACGGTACTCTGCTGATCAATTGATGACGATCACACAGCCAGCCTACACGGAGAATCTCCATTACCAGCAAGCCGAGAATATTAATAGCAGCGTTGCATGCATTTGGAGATGATCTAGACTAACGTCATATACTGTCCATCCTGACTATATCTTGCCACATGGAAATATTGAGGGTTATGCTCATCAGTATCAAACAGACAATATGCTACAAAATGGAAACATGGAGGATCATCCTTCGTATAAGTGGTACGATCAAGATAATTTTTTTTTAGAAACGCGGTACAAATATAGACGCTCATAATACACGCACACTTATCCCTATGAATATACATGCACATTCTATCTCTATAAACACCTTTGGAATAGTGGACCGGTATATCTTGATATTGATATTGATGAAGTTATCACAAACATCTCGCTGTCAATGGGTTGGATTAAGATAATGGTGGTGCATTTGTTCGGAGGATTGGAGGACGGATTAATAGACTATATATTGATTAATTTATGGCAACCCCGGCCGTCTTGGAAGATCAAGAGATAGGTTGTGATGAGCTTATACAAGAATGCATGGGAAGTGATGATGGTGATGAGACATATTAATGACGAATTGCCGTTCTTTGATGACACATAGTAAGATGGGCTCCAACAGAATAAGAGAGCACAACGCCAACGGGTGTGCAGTGTCCTGAGAGCAAGTATAATAGAGGGCTATAAGAAGGCTGAATGCTGATGTGGATGAGAGAGGAGAGGAGAGAGATGAGAAGCGAGCTATAAGTTTACAGCCGGCTTAGGCACAAGAACCAATAAAATCTGTGAGACAGATAGGTAGACCATATATTTATAGTGAAGAGTTAACCATTATATGAGTGAGATGATAGATAGGCTATAAGTAAGCAGCTGGCTGTATTATTATTCTTGCTCTGAAGAGTGCTAATGGTCACTAGAGTCTTTTAAGCGATCGGTACGTGGTTTTATGAGGTTCAGTCTTATCTAATCTGTTTTCTTGATGGGTTAATTTTCACATGGAAACACTATTGTTTGTTAAGGGAAGTAAGATGATGGGGAGGGAGAATTTCGTTTTTACAGTAGTAGAGAAACTAGAAAATCAGGCGCGCCGCCCTGTCAAAAGTATATCCTGTCTAATAAGAAAATGAAACCCAACATCTCAATTCTGACCTCCCCAGATAACACAAACACGACATAAACATGATATGATAATACCAGCGAAGCGCTCTCCGTCTCGTTGCAGCAGGTGGATGCGACCTCAGATTGAGATGCAGGAAATGGAGGAGAGGGAAGCGGAGGGGAGGTAGTACCTCATTACATGGCCTCAAAGAGGCGGAGGGAGCTTGTATCCGGCGCCGTACGTCAGCAAGCTTCGACCAGGTCTCCAGATGCAGTCAATTTGGATAAGATGAAAACGATGAAAGCTGGGTTTGGGGTGTTTGTGATTTGTGAAGGTTGAAATGGAAGTGCAAAGGTTTCAGCTAAAGCCGTACTGGGTGCTTGTGTAGAGAGGACTCAGTTGCATGGGAAACTGAAACGCTCCTTTCTTAGCCCTTCCAAATTTTTTCTTCAAACTTCCAATTTTTTCCATCACATCGAAACTTTCCTACACACACAAACTTCTAACTTTTCCGTCACATCGTTCCAATTTCAACTAAAATTTCAATTTTAACGTGAACTAAACATGCCCTTATTCAGTATTAATTGAGTATTAATATATTGGATTGTTCCCCTTCCCAAGGGCTCCACAAATTTCTGGATTATTCCATTTTTTATTTAATTTTTTACATGCATGTTGACTGAACTAATACAGTACTACTTTCCACATATCTAGAGCCTTAAATAACATATATGCAATCCAACAGTGAATAATTTGCCACAGTTATCATCCAACGGTTCGTTTTTATCTAATGACGTCAAGGGAAGTAAGATGATAGGGAGGGAGAATTTCGTTTTTACAGTAGTAGAGAAATGGCCGTCTCGTTTATCTTCTAACTTTAAATTTTTGTATGAACTTTGTTGTTATTTGTGAGAAGGGATCATCCTGTTTATCTTCTACTTTTGTTTTGTTTTTTGTTTTTTGTTTTTTTTTCCCGTGAACAACTATCTAAATCTAGTACTGAATCTAAGTAGCGTCTTCCCCTAACCAAACTGATTAGCAATGATATTTGTTTACTAATTTATTTTAGTCTTGTTGTGTCCATGAAAGGGCACCTGTATAAGGTATTTCATCTTAAACTAACCATAATTTGAATTGACATATAAAATCGGGAGGTGAATAATGTTAATTTATTATTGCAGACATGTTTAGTTCTTGAGAGGGGAATAAAAGGTACCATTGCATTTTAAACTAACAATAATTTCAGTGACCTGTACAATTGGAAAGTGAATATATTTTTTAAAAAAAAATATGGCAGAAAGAATAACAGACCACTATCAGTTTAAAGCTTTGGTATAACAGTCTATGAAACACCACGTCTGCGCAGGAGGATGCGTGATGGTTAGCTCCACGCTAACCAATAAACAGCTGTCGATTATTTGCTTTCATGCGAAATGTGCCTTCATCCAGAGAAACCTGCTCTAATATAACAGCTGTGCAAGTATATTGCCTGACAAAATGCCTCGGTCTCACAGAAGGATCAAGACATGTAATATAAGAGGGAAACAATTCCATAGTTTCTATTGATATGATAGTCAGGTGAAATTCAATAGATCCATTCCATATGAATATTGCTTGGCAAGTGGTTGGCAGAATGCCTCACAGCAGGATTAAGAGGGAAAGTTTTACCTTATATTCCTATGATAGTCAGGTGAAATTCAATGGATTCATATATATGACATTTAACATGTCTACATCTTTTTTCATTTCATCTTACAGATGTACATAAAACAGGCTATTCTTTTACCTGATCATCCTATTAGATGATTATCAAGCATTCGTGGACATATCCAACAGAGTTCATTCACAGTTGCCTTCACTATACCAAGCCAGTCATTTGTAGTTTGTTGCTAGAACTTTTACTCCGATTGTCACTCGGGTAGTTACAGCTTAGGTTTTATCTGTTCTGCTTGGCGCAGTTGTGCATACATATCTGCGATTTCTTTTGCAAAGTATGCCTTAGCTTGCGGTCTTTTGACCTGCAAAAGTCATTGAGATAGAGAATTAGTACCTGGTGTAGAAATCTCCTCCAACTTGTATTAACGGGCCTACCTTGAAAGTTGGGGTGAGGAGACCATTTTCTAATGTGAAAGGTTCAGCAACAAGGGTAACAGCTTTGGCAAATTCAAAACCTCTTAGCTGGTGCAGCAAGGAAAGAGAGATTAATAAGGGAATCATACACATGATTCATAACTTATTAAGAGCATGCAAGGTTATGAGAAGTGAGAAGTAAACCTGTGCTTCCTTTCCAATAGAGTCCATCTCAGCCAGGACAGCAGATCTTGCTTTCGGATCAGCACAAAGCTGTCTTAAATCCTCGTGCTACAGGTTAGAAAGGACATAACATAAGTAGCCAACGAAGATGTAAGGAGTTTTATTTGTGGGTGTTCTGTTTTTATTTATTTATTTTTTTTTGACAAAGAGAGACATAATTTGTGTAGTGAACTGGCAAAGAGGTGCAAGAAGAATATAATGTTCCGCTAGTTTGGAGAAACCAGTTGTGCAGTTGCAGAATATCTACTCTCTAAGGTCAGCATATTTACCTGGATTCCCTCAGATGCAGCCCAAGCCTTCAACACATCTGGTTCAACTGCTACTACGGCAACCAAAGAAGAGTTTAAACTATCACCTGCATCCGAATCAACAGCTTAGAACATATATGGCAAATTATTGGTAGTTATAACCAGTATAAGGACATGAATATTACCATATATAAAGGACTGCGCAATAAACTTGCACTTAGCATAGACATTCTCAATCTTCTCGGGAGCTATGTATTCTCCTTGAGCTAACTTGAAAATGTTCTTTTTCCTTGAGACCATTAAAACACAATCAATTAATAATTTATTTAATAAGAAAACTAATCAGATCAAATACAGTTCCAGGGGCTTAAATTACCTAAGAAAATGTGTGGAAAGAGGATAATAAGTAATTAGAGACAAAAGTATTTCACAATAGGGTTGTGGTCATTTCTCAAAAACATCCATGTGTTACAACCTTCCTAGTTGAAGGCTACCATGTGCTGTCTGCTACAATAACAGTGGGTAAGATAGTTTTGGTTTGCTCTTTGATCAATAGCTAAGAAGGTTTAACATCTTGCTTTCACTTTAGTCTTTTAGCACAGTAGTTTTGAACTTACCAAGTTGTTATTAGATATCCCTACCATCTTAGTAATATGGTATGTATTCAAAATTACAAATGACAGCAAATTCTACAAGTTAGACCAAATAGCATTGAACTTTCACATATTAGAGTTTTATCACCAACCATGCAAATCTCAGCTAACAAACAATACACTGAGAAGAAAATAGTACAAGCTAACTTAAGATTTCAAGTATGCATCTTAACAATTTAATTTAGCAACTGACTAATTTAGGTATCATTACGA